TGTCGTGGCTGCCCCGCCTGCCCGTCCTGAGGCCGCCTGGGGGGGGGGTTGCCCTTTGGTGTGACGTCCTCAAGGACAGACATTTTGAGCTGGAGTTCCAGGCAGCCGCTTCGCCCTCTCTCTGTGCCATGCTGCTTTCCCTAGAGGGAGACCCCGACGCCCTTGACATACTGACTCCTCGCACGTACCATGAGGCAGTATCAGGGGAGTGGGCCTCTTAGTGGAAAGCGGCCATGGACCCAGAGTTGGCATCTTGGAGATACACAGGTACCTACGCCGACGCAGTTCCCCCTCCCAGGGCAAAGATTGTCGATGGCATGTGGCTCTTCAAGGTGAAGCAGCCGCCTGGATCACCGCCTGTGTTCAAGGCGCATTACGTGGCTAGGGGCTTCAGTCAGCATGATAGAGTTGACTTCTTCCAGACCTTTGCCCCGACCCTGAAGATGACTGCTCTTCGGGTGTTACTGCACGTAGCAGCACAACGAGACTACGAGTTGCACTCTCTTGACTTCTCCACTGCTTTCCTCCAGGGCCGCTTACACGAGGAGATCTGGCTGTGCCGCCCTCCTGATTTCACTGAAACCTTCCCACCTGGGACCCAGTGGAGCTTGAGGCGACAAGTCTACGGTCTCCGCCAGTCACCCCGTGAGTGGCACGACACCCTGCGCTCCACGCTTCGTGACCTAGGGCTTCGTCCCTCCTCTACTGACCCGTCGCTGTTTGTTCGCACTAGCTCCACTCCCTTCTTTATCCTGGTCTACGTTGACGACTTGGTGTTTGCTACAGTTGACAGGGCAGCACCAGCGGAGGTGGAATCCGAACTGCATAAGAGACGCACGTACACCGACCTCGGCGAGCTGCAGCGCTACCTTAGCCTGCAGATCACTAGGGGCAGAGCCGCTCGCACCATCACACTGACTCAGTCACACATGGTGAGCAGGTCCTTTGGCGGTTCGGATTTCAATTCTTCACCACACATCCCACTCCTCTTGCTGTTGACCACCGTCTCACTGGCCCTTTTCCCGACGAGCCCTTTGAGTCTAGTGGTCCTTACGCAGAGCTTGTGGGAAGCCTCATGTACCTGATAACTTGTACTCGGCCAAACCTCGCCTTTCCCCTCAGCGTCCTCTTTCCGCTTTGTTGCAACTGGGAAACACCGTCCTGTTCACTGGACAGCTGCTGTGAGGGTGGCGAAGTACCTGGCGACTACATCAGGCATGGGGTTTGCGCTTGGAGAGACACAGCTAGTTGAGTTGACGGGTCATTGCGACTCTTCCTACGCTGACGACGCAGAGACCCAGCGTTCAACTCAAGGTTACTGTTTCCGTCTGGGTGCTGGTGCTGTGTCGTGGAGGTCCACACGGTTGTCGTCTATGGCTTCGTTCAGTGCAGATGCAAAGATCTACGCTGGTTTCATGGCGCCACAGGAGCTTCGCTGGTTGACCTTGGTGAGCGGCCTCGCTCTGCGCCGACCCTGTACACTAACAAAAAGGCCATGATCCTCGTGTGTCGAGAGCCTCGACTGGAGAGCAAAGTGGAGCATATTGACGTGAGGTACTTTCTCCTATGAGAGCTACAGCGATGCGACCAGGCATGCTTGGACTTTGTGGCCTCAGAGGCCAACACTACTGACGTCTTCACCAAGGTCTTGGTGCCTGGTGACCACCACAGGTTTTGCGTGCAGCTAGGGCTTGTTGAGGTAAGCCCTTGCTTGCTGTAGTGTTGCCCTTATATATATTGGTTCTTGAGACCCACCCTGAGCTTGCTTTGCTTCTTGCCTTGACTGGTCTCTTGATCGTTTGTTCACCCTGCTTGCTTAGATGCCCCTCATTTAGCCTATGGGGGTCAAATGCTATTATTTGTTATAGGCTAAAGTAAGGTGCTCTCTAGAGGGGATAACCCACTTAGGGTTTCCTATTTGTATCCAACTGCTGCCTAGTTCGTTCATTCCGTTGCATTCACTTTCCAAGAAGCCTGCATTTCAATATGAGGTGTAATACCGTGTTTGTTTGCCATCTAATCATGCTCTAGTTACGGAATTGTTGTGAGGCCTGAGGCTCTAAGATAATCGTCAAGCTGTAGAATCTCCTCATATGGTAATATAATCCTTTGCGAACTACAGCGGTAGCAGAGATAAGTTTTTGTTCAGCAGGGAGCCACTATTCATTTGCATGTTTTCAAGAAAATTCAAGAAAAATGTTCACTTAGCTTGAGACGGAATAAGACGCTAATTTTATAGCGTCAATTCGTTAGGTCAGTCAGCAATGACACATCCCGCTACGGTAGATTGAAGGCACGGTTGGTGTAGAGTGTCAAAAAGGCATGTTTAGGGTGCCAAGTCGAGATGAAAATTGGGCTTAGGTATTGAAGACCAAGAATATTTTCCCCTTCAAGTCGTTGAACAAATTGGGCAAGCTGGCTTGCAATGCAGGAGAGGCCAGGCAGGCCTGCACGTGATGGCTGCAAGAGCAGACGGTCGCGTTGGTGCTGGTAGAGATGTTGGGCCAAAAGAGGGAGGAACTTGGTTTTGGAAGTGTATCATGGTCCACGAGTGTTGTGAGGAGTGCAGTGAGGAGTGCAGTGGGGAGTGCAATGAGGAGTGTCGTTAGGAGTGCAGTGGGGAGTGCAGTGAGGAGTGCAATTAGGAGTGCAGTGAGGAGTGCAGTGAGGAGTGCAGTGAGGAGTGCAGTGAGGAGTGCAGTGAGGAGTGCAGTGAGGAGTGCAGTGAGGAGTGCAGTGAGGAGTACAGTGAGGAGTGAAGTGAGGAGTGCAGTGAGGAGTGCAGTGAGGAGTGCAGTGAGGAGTGCAGTGAGGAGTGCAGTGAGGAGTACACACTACAACGAGGGTGATGTGGACTTTGACAACAAGGACGCTTGTTGACTTGGCAAGGAAGAGTGCAAGGCGTTGGTGCGTGAGCGATACTGAGTCTGAGGGAGTGGTTACGGTGTGTGGGGTGGTGATGTTCACGCTATTCATGAGATTGCGCCCAAACTGGTTCGCAGAAGGGTGAAGCCAAGGATGTGGAGCGGCTTCTGGGGTCTGGGTGTCATAATGCAGGAGTGCAGAGAGGACTAGGGAGAACATGTTTGAGAGAGCAGCCAGGGACTTTGTTAAGTAGCAGTAAAAAAATACTGAAAACATCAAGCGTAGTGATTATCGATAGTTGCGTGGTTTATTATCTGCCGACCTGCTATAGGAGGAGGGTGAAAAGGTTAATTCATAACTTTGTCCTAGGGAATAAGGGAAATGTGGAGCAAGACATTACGCTGGGGAGTCACAAGCCGATGTACACAGCAAGGAAGCAAAGAGGGCTGTCGATGGTTAACCCCAAGGAACGAGTTGATAGCTGAGTGCTCCCAAGTGTGGGCCTAGCAATCAGGCAAAAATAAGGTGACTTTTGAGTCGACTCAACAGTCACCTAGTTGATAGCTTAGTGCTCCAAAGTGGGTCTGGCAATCAAGTAGAACTGCCCAGTGGCAACAGGGTTCTTGCACATTTGGGCCACTTTGTATGAGCACCCATTGATCCGGAAACATTGGGGTGGGGGGGGGAGCAAGATGGAAGGAGTTGGCATCAAATGATAATGAAAACACTGTCGGCTCAAATGGAGAAACAGCCATTACATTGTCCAACTAGCACAAAGGAAGTGGCACAAAACCAATCTCTATGTCTGGTGAATCACATGTGAGTGACTCTCTGCTCATGTGTTGCGTTGACTGCTTGCATCATGCGCCTGACAACCCCTTTCACCTGCACTCTCAAGTTCGAACATCCCTCCCATCCCTCTGACATGGGCCGGACATAGAGACTTATGACCCAGAACCGGCCTGAGTGAGTTCGGGTCATTTCCGGACGGCATGGGCAGGAGAGTGTGGATTGGAACGCGTCAGCGTGGGCTGGGACGGATCGGGACTGGTTGGGACGACCGGGACGGGTTGGAACGGGTTGAGATGGGTTGAGACGGGTCGGGACTGGTTGGGACGAGTCGGAACGGGTTGGAATGGGTCAGGATAGGTTATTAAGGGCCGGGCCTGGTTGGGACGGATGGGGTGGGAGGAGTGCTGGGTTGTTAGACCTGCAGCAGCACCTGCACCTACTTGGATGGACCTGACTCAGTGACACATGGTGCAGCGGTTCAAGACTCACCGATGTAAAGGGTGCCGTGCAGCCTATGTTATTAATGAGCTGCACCTGTAGGATGGTGTTGGGTTGCCTGCACCTACACCTGCTCGGATGGACCTGACTCGGTCACACATGGTGCAGCGGTTCAAGACTCACCGATTCAAACATGCGGTGCAGCCTATGTTCATTATAAGCTCATGGATGCGTCAACGTTCGAATGCCTGTGAGCGTCCATGGCCGCATCACATAGGGTGCAACACCCCGTCCCTCCAGAGTTCAAATGCCTATGCTGAAAATTGGAATAGCCATTGCTCCACAGCCTTGCACGAATGGAGGAGAGAGAGGCACAGCCGGGCTCACTGATTCAAGTATCCGTTACAGCACGCCGTCCCTCTGCCGCACCTGCACCTTGCGGTGCATGTTGTCCTATCTGCAGTGAGTTAGAACCTCCTCTCACCGGCAATCGTTAGAGACTCACCAATTCGCATATGCGGTGCAATGCAACAGACACTTCACAATGTGGGGGTTGAAGCGCCCTACCACAGGCAGTACAGAGATCAAAAGCCCACTCACTCTAGGCAGGCAAGATAGCTGTAGCACGCCGCCACTATGGGGAAGGCCTATGGCAAGGGGGGAGATAAGGGGGAGAGAACAGGGGGAAGAGAGGGGAAACCAAGAGAGGGGGGGATGAGAAGGAAGGAGGAAAGGCTGATGAGGGAGGGGGGGAGGGAAAACAAGACGGGGCTTGGAGTGAGGTGAGAGAGGGATGAAGCGAAGTGGGGTTACAAGCAGAAGGTGGAGCGCAACCAGGGCGGGGCAACACGGGCGGGTAGCTGTAGCAGGCAGCACAGAGGCCAAAGCCCGCTCGCTCCGGGCAGTCAAGGCAGCTGTAGCGCGCCCCCACTATGGGGAAGGCCTGGTGGGGGTAGAGAGAAGGGAGGGGAAGAAACTGATGTGTGGCCCCACATACAGTGCAACAGCTGCACTCCTGACACCTGTAGCGCGGCCCCACTATGGGGAAGGCCTGGTGGGGGTAGAGAGAAGGGAAGGGAGGGAAGTGATGCGTAATCCCACACACACTGCAAAAAGCTGCAGTCCAGACATCTGTAGCACGCCCCCACTATGGGAAGGCCTGGTGGGGGTAGAGAGAAGGGGGTGGGGAAAGGGGGCAGAGAGAGATGAAATCAAGAGAGGAGGATAGAGAAGGTAGGGTAGGAAAAACACAGGGTTAGGGGACGAGACGGGCGGAACAAGGAAGGTCTTGGAGTGAGGTGAGAGAGCGCAGATGAGGGGGAAAGTCTGGAAAGGGAGAGAGGGGGGCTGCGCAGAGGGGCTGCGCAGTGGAGGATATGGCTGGACATACGCCTAAGGGACGTGGGTGGTGAGCACTCCTAAATCTGGGAGATGAAACGGACGAATCTTATACAACCCTGATTGAGGGGGGTTTCTGAGTCTACCTCCAACACAGAAGGGGGCCCAAAAGGAGCTCGCCCTCAACACAGATCTGAAGTCGCACCCCGCAATTCCAAATCACCCCAAACCTGACCACCCTGGAGGCCACCCTGGTGTCCTGGTCGGCCTCAACTCAGAGGAGACACTGCTCGCCTTTTGCTCTCGCCACCCGTCCTCCTCCCTGCCGCTCCCAGACTGGGTGGCGAGGCATGCAGCTGGTACACCACCAACCATCTCCCTGAAGCAGAATAAGGCAGGCCCGTCAGGAACCACATTTGAGCACATTCGTGACTCTGCCCTCACAAAAGACTGCCTCTCTAAGACAACGCTCTAAGTTCACAGTTAACCGGGATTTTCCAATCATTCCACGGGGTTTGTCTCGTCGATTTATTAACCACACGAGTTGATGGAAGTAAGACCTCCGCAGCCACCTGTCTGCTACTGACAGCTCCTGAAACAGAATAGGGCAGGCCCGTCAGGAACCACATTTGAGCACATTCGTGACTCTGCCCTCACAAAAAGCGGACGTCCTCACCCATCTTCACTCAACACTAACCTACCTGGGCGTCTCTCCCGCAGGCTGTCGGTCTTCCTAACCGCCTCGTACCTGCTAGCGCTCACAAAGCTTGGAGGTGGCACCCGGCCTACGGCTGTCTGTCCATCCGAGCTTGGATGAGGTAGATGCCCATCCAAACCCATCCAAACCAGCTCGTTCTCCAGGTGGATCTGGCAAACGCATTCAACGCCATTGAGCGAGCAGCTGCGTTCAAGGGGCGTCCACACCTCTGGAGTGCCTGTTCCGCTTCACTCGGCTATCCTACAGCCAACCGAGTGTTCTGGTCGTCAATCACAGACTCGAAAAAGACCCGCTCTGGGTCGCCACACTGCTGCTAAGTTCGAGGCTTGGTGCTCGTGGCCGTTGGCGGCAGGCCGCCTACTTGCAAACTCCCCTCCTCCCTCCCCCACCCCTCAGTCCCCAGAAGTCTCCCAAGTCTTCGTGGAGGAAGATCCTCGTGGGAGGAACAATTTTTCAGAACCGGAGGGTTGGGGGGAGAGGGGGGAAAGCAAGGGGATTGGCTCAAAACCAAGTGGCTTGGTGCTTTTGAATCGACTCAAAAGTCAGCTTGGGTGGGGGGGAGGGGGGGAAGCTATCAAGGGGGCTGGCTGAAAACCAAGTGGCTTGGTGCTCAGAGCCGGTGGCGGCAGGCTGCCGAGAACACGCTCTGTGCAGCCTGAAGCAGTCTGCCCCGCCTTCATTTGCGAGCGCGCAAACACGGCACCAGTGCTTCAGCAGGCGAGATCCCTCCTGCTGCCTCTCCAGGTCCACATGGATCCCCCCGCATCCTATCTACCAGGTCCTGCTGCTCACCCGGTGTGTCAGCAGAGAAGCTTCCTATCTGCTATGCCCCACACCCTGGGTTGCCTTTCGGTGGGGGAGTGGTCCGCCAATTGGGGAGCGTTTGCTCCAAACGGCGCTTGGCGCCTGCCACCTTCACGCCCTCAGAGGAACCAGGGCAGAGAAGGCCCACCCGAATGGTCTCGCCACTCTGGAGGACATGCTACCCTTCCCTTCAGCTGACCTCGCCATTGCTCTTGCTTTCTTTCTCGCCATCACTTCCCAACCCGCTCTCTTCTCCGCCACGGTAACCTTTTGGCTCGGCCTCAGCCCGTACCCGATCCCCCAAACCTGTGACTGCCGCGACAAAAACCAATTCAGGCGGGGTTTATCGCCCACAAGGAGACTAACCGGTTTACCTCGGTTGTTAACAAGTTGGCTGATCCGTCTATCCGGCACTCGTAATATGCTTTGCGACAACTCAGATGTGGAATCAGTCGACTCAAAAGCAGTGTGGCTCTGTGACGCCACCAGGTGCCGATCTGCCGTGACCAAACCAACTTTGGCGGGGGTTATCGCCCACAAGGAGACAAACGAGTCTACCTCGGTGGTCAACAAGTTCACTGATTCTTCTATCCGGCACTCGGAACCTGCTTTGCGACAACTCAGATGCGGAGTCGGTTCCTTTTTACCATCTCTTCCCCTACCGCACTGCCCCACTCCCCCTCTCGCCGCTCTTCTTCACTCCAAGTCCCCCTCCGGTAGACCGCGTGCCCCCTCAGGGTCCTGCTCCTTCAGGTGTGTCTCAGGTAGACCCACTCCCCTTGGTTGAGCCTGTCAAGGTTACTGGTGACTCTGGTGCTGCTCGGGGTGCTGCATATGGGGGTGCTGAGCCTGCGGTTGCGAAGCCTGAGCGTGCGGAGCCTAGAGGTGCTCAGCCTGCGAGTGCGGAGCCCGGGGTTGTTGAGCCTGGGCGTGTGGGGCTTGGGGGTGCTGAGCATGCGGGTTTGGAGCTTGGGGTGCTGCCTAAGCGTGCAGAGCTTGAGGGTGCTGAGCATGCGGGTGTGGAGCCTGGGGGTGCTGAGTCTGGGGGTGCTGAGCCTAGGGGTACTGCGTCTACACTATAGGAGCCTCTCTCACCACAGCAACTGCGCAAGTGGTACACTCAGCGCACACACCTTCGGAGTGGCGCTGCTAGAGCTAGAGGCCCTGCAGCTGCTAGTTCTGGAGGTGCTAGAGGTACTACTCGTACTAGAGGGTACTGGGGGTGCTGGAGCTACCAGTCCTAGAGGTCCTGCAGGTGCCTCGCCCCAGTGGTCTAGCCAGCGGGAGCCTCTCTCACCACAGCAGCTGCGCGAGTGGTACGCTTGGCGCACCCGCCTCCGGTGTCGCGCTGCTGGAGCTGGAGGCCCTGCCGCTGGAGGTGCTGGCGCTGGAGGCACTGGTGCTGCTGGTGCTGGAGGTGCTGGTGATGCTGGCACTACTGGTCCCGGGGGTGCTCGTGCTGGAGGTGCTAGAGCTGCCGAGCTCGTGGTGTTGTGGGCTCTAGAGCTGGAGGCACTGGAGCTGGAGGTACTGCAGGTGCTGGAGCTGCTGGTCCTGGAGTTGCTCGTACTGGAGGCGCTGGAGCTGCCGGAGCTGGTGGTGCTGCTGGTGCTGGAGGTGCTGGAGGCACTAGAGGTGCTGGAGCTGCTGGTTCTAGAGGTGCTCGTGCTGGGGGTTCTCGAGCTGCCGAAGCTAGTGGTGATGTTGGTGCTGGAGGTGCTGGGGGTAACTGGAGCTGCTGGAGCTGGTGGTGCTGCTGCTTCTGGAGGTGCTGGAGGTGCTAGAGCTGCTGGTCCCGGAGGTGCTCGTACTGGAGGTACTGGAGCTGTTGGAGCTGGTGGTGTTGCAGGTGCTGGAGCTGGAGACCCTGGAGCTGTTGGAGCTGGTGGTGTTGCAGGTGCTGGATCTGGAGACCCTGGAGCTGGGGGTGCTGGCGCTTGGGATGCTGGAGCTGTCAATACTGGTGCTGGAGGCACAATGCATCAGCGACTGTTTTTCGTTCCGCCGTTGCCGTCATCTCTGTCCGCCACCTGGCTCGACACTTTCCTAGGTTCTTAGTCTCCCGTCTTCTACTGCCGTACTCCTCCCATGCTGTGTCCACCGCCTGACTAGTCGTAGCCACAGTTACAGCCAGACTCCCCACTGCCTGCCCCTTTTCTTTACACTAAGCAGACTGACTCCCTTACAGAGCGTCGTGAGCCTGCGTCTCATCCTGCGTCGCCTGTTCGCGCTGTTCGCACTCGTAGGCGTCCTCCTCCTATTCCTGGCACTCACACTATGGCACTTCATCCTTCCTCTATTTCACTTTGAGTTCCCCTGCTGTCTCCTCCTGTGTCCTCTCTTCCTGACTTAGTTCGTGCTGCCAGTCCTACTGTCACCCATCTCCTAGCCACTGTTGTCACCAACCCTTCGTTTGACTCATTGCTGCCTCTGCCCTTGTTGCTGAGCTTGTCGACTTTGTTGCTAGCTGTCGTCTCGACTAAGGGACCCGTAATCGCCTTTACGTAAGGGTGCGGAGTCATAACCGCACTCTCTTGACTTCAGCACAGCTTTCATACAGGGCAGCCTCCACGAGGAGACCTGGCTGCGCCGCCCACCTGGCTTCACTGGGTCTTTCCTGCAGGTACCCAGTAGAGCGTCCAGCGGCCAGTCTACGATCTTTGCCAGGGCGCCTCATGAGTGGCACGACACACTGAGGACTACACTTGCCGGTCTTGGGTTCGCTCCTTCGACTGCTGACCCGTGGCTGTTTCTGCGCACCGACACTTTGCTGCCGCCGTTCTACATCCTCGTGTACGTCGACGACTTGGGTTTTGCCACTGTTGACACTGAGGCTCTGACTCTAGTGAAGTCGGAGCTGCGGAAGAGACACACGTGCACAGACCTAGATGAGCTGCACAGCTATCTTGGCTTGCAAATCACCCGGGACAGAGCACGGCGCACCATCACCCTGACTCAGTCACACATGGTGCACCAGGTCCTTCAGCGCTTCGGCTTCACTTGGTCCTCGCCACAAATCCACTCCTCTTGCTACCGGTCATTCGCCTCGCAACTCCACCTCTGGACGAGTCCCTAGAGCTGAGTGGCCCGTATCCAGAGCCTGTGGGCTGCCTCATGTACCTGATGACCTACACTCGACCTGACCTTGCTTACCCTCTCAGCATCCTGGCATGCTACGTTGCGCCCATGAGACACCGACCAGAGTAGTGGGAGGCCGTTAAGAGGGTGTTACGCTACTTGTGCAGTATGTCGGAGCATGGGCTCGTGCTTGGAGGACGGAGTCGAGTTGTTCTCACTAGCCACGTAGACGCGTCTTGGGTTGACAATTTGGCCACGCAGCAGTCGTCACAGGGTTACACTTTCAGCCTTGGCTCCGGTTCTGTTTCTAAAGCGGTCTACCCGCTCGTCTTCTATTCTCCATTCCAGTTGTGAAATAGAGATCTACATAGGGGCCATGGCTGCACAG